CGTGTGCGAACAGAAAAGGGCAAGAAAGCTTTTAGCTTTTCTGCCCCCTCAGCTTAGAATGACTTGCAAGCTGAATTAAAACTGAACTGAGAAACAAACACAGATCCAGGTCCAGATGTAGGTGCAGGTGTACCCCCGATTGGAAAAAAGACAAAGACAAAAAAAAAAATACAAATACAAAACAGGTAGAAATACAAAACAGTTAGAGTAGAGCAAGTAAAGACAGCAGCAGAGTGAATAAAAAATGTGGTCAATTTGTCCTCCAGCAGTCTAAGCCTATGGCAGCATAACTAAGGGATAGCCCAGGAAACCCAAGCCAACCTTAACTATAGGATTTATCAAAAAGAAAAGACTTAAGCCTAATCCTAAAAGTAGACAATGTGTCAGCCTCACAGACAGAAACTGGAAGTTGGTTCTACAAAAGAGGAGCCTGATAACTAAAAGCTCTGCTTCCCATTTTGCTTTAGGAAACTCTAGGAACCACAAGTAAACCTGCAATCTGAGAGCGAAGTGCTCTGGAACGTTGAGTTCTATAATATAAGATGGAGCTAGGTTGTTGAGGGCTTTGTAGGTTAGCAGTAAGATTTTGAATTATATTCTGAATTTAACAGGGAGCCAGTAGAGAAGCTAAAACCGGAGAGATACGATCTTTCCTATCAATTCTCATTAAAACTCTGGCAGCAGTATTTTGGATCAACTGAAGATTTGTTGAATAAGTATTTGGACACTCAGATAATAAACAATTGCAATTAGTCTAACCTAGGGGTGCACCGATAAATCAGCCAGCCAATTTATCGGCCCCGATTTCCTTAATTTTGGAAAATCGGAAATCGACCGATACTTGCATGAGAAACTGATTTTATCGATTTTTTTTTAGTTTTAACAACAATTGTTTAAACTTCATTTATATTTCAGATCACAACCTCATGGCTAGTTAAAACAAGTTTGTATTGTTTCTAGGATATTGTTCAAGGGTATGTTTTTCAACAAAATAAGATTGAAAATTGAAGGTGCATTGTGACCTTACAACACCTGACAGTGTCGATTATAAATCAAAATCGGTATCGGCCAAAATCGGAATTGGCAGGTCAGACTTTTTAGAAATCGGTGATTGGCCAGAAAACTGCAATCGGTGCACCCCTAACCTAGACGTGATAAATGTTTAAAAACTGTTTAAAAACAGAAACAAAATTCAGAATAGTGTAGACAGAGGCTCCGTCCAGCTACAGTGCTTAGAGTTAGTCCATGCGTGGGATGATTATGTTCCTGTTCACAAACATGTGCATGTGTTTGTTTAACCAGCAGACTCTTTCCCAGTGTCTGAAAATGGACTATGACAATAATCAGATCAACTCAGGATCATTGCATATTCATATCCAGTTGAGCCAACAAAACTGGATTCCATGAATAAAATGTAGGTTAACACAAGATTAGTGATTATGGTGAATTATGAATGGCTTTCCATGATGTCAATCTGATTGAAGTTGAACATAGACAATTTATTTGAGAATCGTTATTACCACTGTTACTTCAATTTTTGTTCCTAAGCACAGTTATTTTTGTACATGTTCTAGTTAAGCATGATGAGTTAAACTTTAAATAAAGTAATGACAGTAAGACGGATGTTTAGGTTGACGTTGTAACTTCAAACCTGTTGTGCCCAACTTTAACCCTACACTTGAAATAAGCTCTTTTATATTTCTAAGCATCTATTGAGGAAACTGTTCAAATGAATGTTGATCTGATGAAAGCCTTTCAAAAGATCCTGGAATAGTTCAAACCAAAGAGGCCATGCCAACTTAATGTAATGACTGCTTCTTCTATAATCTTCAACTCAAAATCTAGTTATGTCATCTGTCTGCAGATTATGACAAATGTGTCTAACTGTTCGGAAATCAACTTGGTAGTGCACAAAGCTTGTGGTTTATCCATGGATAGATAATAAAAATATCTCTAATAAAACATAAATAAACATGACAGGTTTTAAAAGCTTTTAAGTTATAGGTAATGTTAATTATTACTCCTTTGATCGCAGAATTCTACCGGTTTGTGTGCACATTTGAATGATTTTCGGTTGTCAGTTTTAGTGTGGTGTCATAATGACATTCTTGGTGTGATTGCGGATTATGCTTGTGTTCCACAGATGACATCAGATTGGGTTTAGGGGAGTTTTGCAGCTGTGTGAACTCATCATCACCCTCAAAGCTGTTTTTACATAACATTCCACAAGTGTCTGAATCAGTTCCTGTTTTCGTAATGAAGGAACTGATGAGGTTCACAATTCTTATCCATGTGCCTTGCACTGGAGTTTTAAAAAGTTTAACATTAATTTCTGTGACAATACCTCACCGTGTCCAATCAGATGGGATCACACACAGTCAAAATGGAGTTGCCATGTGTTAGACGATCCAATGGTCCTTTAGGGTGCATTCACACCAGCCCTGTTTAGTCCGCTTTAATCGAACTCTAGCTCATTTTCCTAGAAAGTCCGGTTCGTTTAGGGAGGTGTGAACGTGCCATCGAACTCTGTCACGGAACAAAAAGGCAAAGTCTGGCCCGGGCTAAAACCTAGGTCTCGGTCTGGTATAAGAGAACTCCAGCGCGGTTCGAGTACAGTGTGAATGTAAACAGACCGGACCCCGCTCCGCAGGACAAACAAACACGCATTTCTCTTACCTCATATGGAGCCGTCAGCTGCCTTGTGTGGAAAAACAATATTCTCCGTGGTCTTCTGTCTCATCTTCTGCTCATGCTGAGTCCATTTTTGAAAAATGACAAAATATAACTCCTAAAATTGCTAAAACTTGATGCCACTTCATTTTTATTTTTATTTACAGAAGAAGAAGAAGAAGACGTGTCTTCAGAGGTTTTCGTGTTGTTTCTTTCAGTAAGTTCTTGGCGCAGCGCCCCCACAGGCGAGTGGGGGAATAGGTTGGTTCAACAGGTTGACTCGACTGCACAGTGCAGTGTGAATGCAAACGCACCAGCTCAAATGTAAACAAAAGGTCATGAATATTGGTCCCGAACCGAACCGAGTCTACCGGACTATCTGGTGTGAAAACGACCTTAGAGTGATCGGCAGCTTGAGGTCTGTTTTTAGTTCAAGTTTCCACACCACCTGTCCTGACAGGTTGTAAAACGAACCCCTGTTCAAGATCAGAGCCAGAGCTTCTTTATTTGTCATTCGCACCACATGTGGTAAATGTGGTGGAACGAAATTGTGTAAACAGGGTCCCAGCTACCATCCATCCATTATCTTTACCCGCTTCTTCCATTTTGGGTCACGGGGGTTGCCGGTGCCCATGTCCAGCAATCACTGTGCGAGGGGTGGGGTACACCCTGGACGGGTCGCAAGTCCATCACAGGGCCACATAGAGACAAACGAGACAAACAACCATTCACACTGTCACTCACACCTAGGGACAATTTTAGAGTTACCAATCAGCCTAACATGCATGTTTTTGGTCTGTGGGAGGAAACCGGAGTCCATCCATCCATCCATTATCTTTACCCGTTTATTCCATTTTGGGTCACGGGGGTCGCTGGTGCCCATGTCCAGCAATCACTGTGCGAGGGGCGGGGTACACCCTGGACGGGTCGCAAGTCCATCACAGGGCCACATAGAGACAAACGAGACAAACAATCATTCACTCTCTCACTCACACCTAGGGACAATTTAGAGTTACCAATCAGCCTAACATGCATGTTTTTGGTCTGTGGGAGGAAACCGGAGTACCTGGAGAAAACCCACGCATGCACGGAGAGAACATGCAAACTCCACCCAGAAAGGCCCCTGGACCGGGGTTTGAACCAGGGACCTTCTCGCTGAGAGGCAGCAGCTCTACCAGTTGTGCCACCGTGCTGCCCGGTCCCAGCTACATCCAACAATAAAAATATAAAAGAAAAACAGCAAGAAGATCTAAGATATGTACTAAGAAAAACATTAAAAATAATACGCTGAACAGCAGCACAAACATGAATCTGTGAGTACGAATGAACACATCATCATGAAACAGATCAGCAGCAACATAGTGATTTTTTTCACAGTGATTATCCTGGTTAGAGATTCATGAGTCAAACAGCATCAGGGTAGAAACTGTTCCTCAGTCTAGTGGTTCTACACTTAATGCTCTTCAACCTCCTTCGTGAGGGGAGCAGGGCAATAAGTGTGTCGGTTAATGATGTCCAGTTAACCAGTGAATACAGGGTGCAGTGGTGGGTACGATAATCACAGCCAGTTATGAATCTTAATGCACCATGATAGACAGCATCCAACATCTGCAGGATTCTTGTAGGAGCGTTCATGTAAATAATGTCACCGTAATCAATGGAAGGAAGGAAAGTCACAGATAAAAAGGCGTTTCCTAGCATTCAAAGTTAGACAGGATCTGTTTCTGAAAAAGAAACCCAGTTTAACTTTCAGTTTCTTTACTAGGTTTTCCACATGGAGCTTAAAAGAGAGATGCGAGTTGACCAAGATACCCAAATATTTACCTGTATAGGAATCAACTAACTCAATGGGGACACCATTTGAGGATAAAATCAGAGGGTGAACTGCTGGGACCGACTTCCTGTTTGAAAAAAGCATCCGTTTGGTTTTGTTGGCATTTAGGACAAGTTTGAGGCGGAACAAATCAGACTGGATGTTGTCAAATGCAGATTGCAAAAGCTGGAAAGCCTTAATAACTGTTTGAGTTCAACAATAAACAACTGTGTCATCAGCATAGAAATGTATAGACGCATCAGGGATGTTTTGACCTACATTACCTATGTAGATTGTAAAGAGGGTGGGTCCTAAGACTGAGCCTTGAGGTACACCATTGTTGACTGTTAAATAGCTGGAGGAAGTACCATTATGTTGAACACATTATACTTTTTAGTAGGTTTATGGTTATAAATGAAGCAACTTCTTAACTTGATAATTTAGGTGTGTGCCAGTGTAAAAAGTTTTTATATTTGCATTATATAATGTCTCTTTTGTTTCTTCTGTTTTCTCCTAGCCCTTGTGTTTAACAGGAGAATGAGGAGGAGGAGGAACTGGAAAACTTGGAAAGTTTCTCTGAAATCTCAATGAAAGTATCAGGAGAGCCTCTCTAGTGTTTCAATCAATGGCTAAGAAAAGCCGTACGAAGGGCGAGAAGCCCGAAGCACTCATTTCTGCCTTACAGGCCGCCAATGAAGATCTCAGGTCCAAACTGACTGATATTCAGATCGAGCTACACCAAGAAAAATGCAAGGTATTCGGAAATACTTTTGAAAAGTTTAAATATTTACTTCGAATACTTCAATTCAATGCATTTCTTTCCCCCTTTGCTTCTTTCAAAAGGTGAGCAAGTTGGAGCGAGACAAGGTGCAGGAGGTGAAACGGGCGCGAGAGCAGGAGCAGCATCGGCACACTGCCATGCTAACGGAGCAGCGAGCCAAGTGGCACGAGGAAAAGCAAAAGGAGCTGCAGGCTCTTAGGGAAAACCTGACCCGGCAGCACGAGCAGGAGCTGGCTCGCCACGCCAAAATCAAAGATCAAGAGAATCAGAGGCTGAAAGCGGCCATCAGCGCCATGCGTGATGGTAGTGGAGAAAAGGTAAGTGAGAGAAACTAAATTAGCGCATGAAACAAAAACTATTCCCTTTTTGTCTAAAACAAATACATTTTGTAAACAAAATCAGCTTTATCAATGTCAATACCTCTTTATGCAATCTCTCTCCAGGTGCGCACAGCACTGACTCTTGAAGCGAAAGAGGACGCGCGCCGCTTCTTTGACCAGGAGAGAGTGAAGCTCCTACAGGAAATAGCTGAGCTGAAATCTACGAAGAAGCAGACCGATGAAGCACTTAGCAACATGATCCAGGCAGACAAGATGAAGGCTGGAGACCTGCGGGTTGAACACCAGCAGCATCAGGAGCAAATCTCCAAGATCAAGTGGGATTGTGAGAAGGATATCCGCAGACTGGTAGGTACAGTTACTGCTACCAGATGTCTGGATACCAAATACTTTATCAATACACATTATATAAATGAGGAGCTTTGGGCAACAAACTGAAACATGCCATAATAACAAAGCATGAGATTAACTTATTATTCAGTCAAAGCAGGTGAAATCATGTCAATATTTTTTATATGCCCATCGAAAGATGGATGTTTTTTGGTATACAGTAATCCCTCGTTTATTGTGAGGGTTACGCCCCCCACCCCGTATTAAGTGAAAATCTGTGACGTTATATTTATTTTAGTACAAAGTATTTATATATATTTTAAGGCTTTAGAAACCCTTCCCACACTCTTGCAATCGTGTTCTAAATTCTTAAACCTACTAATTTTAACAACACACTTAGATGTAGCTACTAAATTTAACTCACCAGCTGGGCAAAACAGCAACGGCTTGGTTCTGCTCTGACTTGGTTCCGTTTTGATGGACCCCTGCCAGTTCTGGTCAACTCTCAGGGTCTGGAGGTCTGGTTCTGCTCCAGTTCTGGTTTGGTTCTGTGCAGCCCTTTAGCGCTGAAGTGCATTGGGGGGCTTCGGGTGGTCGGCGCGGGACTGGTGGTCCAATTGTGCTGCGGTCCGATAAAGAGATGAAAAAAGTCCCGGTGGGCTCTACAGGGAGTGTCCCCACTCTGAAGTCTCTGTGGGCCAGTTAGCAGTTCTCAAGTTTGCAATGTATCTGGTCCAGTTCCTGGTGGGTTCCATGTGGCTCTCTATATCCGCTGGGTGCCAAAGTCACTGTAAAGGACCTAACTTTTTCAGATCAGATCAAAACTTTCCCTCTTCGTATTTCAACAGAAGGCAACGGGGCTGTTGGCTTCTGGGAAATGCAGTTCTTATGAGTGGCAATACAAGATAGGCTTATTGAGAGAAAACTACACAATGGCAGTGCATGTCCGAAGTATTTTATTTTCTTGTTAACATTTTACTGTACAGTATCCAGTACTGTCCCCAATCACAGGAGTTGACAATCATGTGTTGTGTACAATTTTTTTCCCCAGTTTTCAATCCTTCTTTGAAAAACCGCAAAAGAGCGAGTTTGCGAAAGTCGAACCGTGAAGTAGCGAGGGAATCCTGTAGTCCCAGTCTGTAAACTTTCTCTTTTCAAGCTCATGACTTCTGATTTGCTCAAGATAGTTCAATGAACTTTCATACACATATGCATCATTATTAGAAAGAGTGTTGCATACACTGTTCATAACCCCAGCTCCAAGTTTAAGGTCATACATACAGGTCAAATGTTATACGAGGTCTTTGCTTGTCCTGGCCTTAACTTTTGATTTAGTCAAGATAATTTAACAAAACTTGATACACTTTAGTACCACAGCTAGACCACATGTAGTGTAATCTCTAGCAACCCAGCTCTATGGTCAAGGTCACAAATCAAGGTCAAATCTTATACAAGTTATTTTCTTGTCTGGCCTATTGCTATAGATCACTGTATTGCTGCATAGTAGTCTGTCGATGAGCGTATAATGTGCAGTTCTCTTGCTAAACAATATTTCCTTCTTCCTGATAGGTTGATGAAATCAAATCTAAAGACCGCACCATTTTTGCTCTAGAGAAGGAACTGGAGTCGACAGCAGGCTACTTACAGAAGCTGCAGCTTCAGAAGGACGCCTTGGATGAACAACTGTTCCTGGTCAAGGAGGCTGAGTGCGGCCTGGGAAGCCCAAAACGAGAGATTCCAGGCAGAGCTGGAGATGGAGCAGAGCACTGTGGGAGCCCTGTAAGTGGACCAATAACTGGGGGAGTTTTATCCATTTAAACCAAAGTTAAATCAGAATTCATTTATTTAGTCCTAGATGGCCTCGGTATGAATTTACTAGAACGCAATGCCTAAAAAATGTATATACGCTTAATGAAAAAAATCATATAAAAGAAAAAAATAAGATAAATAGAAACAACTATTAAAACTTTATTTAAATAAGATAAAATATAACATTTTCACTTTAGTGTCAGATTTTTTGATTTCAGCTCGTAAAATGTTCCATAAAAAGCAGCAGAAGGATCTCTAAAGCCTTCAGATGATTTAAATTCAGTGGGGATAAACTGCAAAAATGTGTTTGGCGACTGAAAAGCTAAAGATGACAAAAAGGCTCAAACAAATCAGCCAGACAAAAAGGTGCACAGTTTAGATATGCAAATTATAAAACCTTTAAATCAAGTCAAGGATGGATTGGGAGGGATGGGTTAATTTACGGTGTGGTCTTTTTATGTTTGCACATGGTGTTTTTGTGATGATTCTACTGTCAGCTGTCAAATGAATCCTTACTGCTTTTTTCTCAACTTCCTACAAAATACTAATTCATAACTTCTACATTTATATAATTAAAAGTGGTGAGGGAAGTGGTGGCGCAGATGTTAGAGAAGTTGGGTACCGACGGTACCGACAACATCAAAAATGTGGGTGGGATAGGTGAAACACCCACACCTGCCCCCAACTTCCTTTGGGCCCTTGATCAAGGCCCTTAACCTCCACCATGTGCTCCTCCATGCGCCCTGGATAGCTGCTCTCTGCTCCACACAGCGGACTGTGGTAGCTCGGTGGTCTGTAGTTGTGTCAGGAAGGACATCTTGTGTAAAAAAAAATTGCCAAGTCTTTGTGTGACTAAAGCCCTATTCGCACAGGATTAGTTTTACCTAGGGACCAATGCTATTTGTAATAATTATGTGAGATTGTCTGTGTTTTTAATCCCGTGCGAATCAATCATGTCAGTAATTTGTAAAGTAAAAATTCCCCATATTTTATATATTTTGCTGAACTCCGAGGTCTTGTGATAATACTAATCCAATGCGAATAGGCATCTCTGTGATTTGGAAAGAAATGGGCAGGATCAGATACTCAATTAGGCGTTTTTTGTTTCCTGGGCGCATTTTTATTTGCTTTTGGCAAAGGAGGCTGCATTGGAGTGCATAAATAACCTTTTGTGTCCCGGACCAGCAAAAGCCTATCGACCCATAACGGTCGCCAAAAAAAGAAAAGGCTGAAGAGAAGGAGCAAAATCATATTCAAATGGTGGCAATGGTGAAGTTACGCAATACACAGCGCATTAACATCATATCCAGAAGATGTCCGTAAAGTTCAGCTAAATCTCAGGCTTTGGTTATCCCGTGCGAATGTGCCACATAAAAAGCAGATGTTGGGGAGTAATTTATTTATTACATGTGGTCTCTACGTAAAACTAATCCCGTGTGAATAGGGCTTTTGTTCGCTGTGGTGACCCTTAACACAGGGAGCAGCCGAAAGAAGAAAAATAAATTAAAAGTGTTTTTTTTTGTTTTAACTGAGTGACGATGGATTTTCAATGAAAGTTTAGTTTATAGATTATTTATGTATTTCAGGACATGAGGAGAAATCAGAGACGCGTTGCTGAACTCAACTCAACCATTCGCAAGTTGGAGGATCGCAACTCACTGTTGGGTGATGAGAGAAGCGAACTGGTACGCACAAATTGTTAAAAAATGGGTTATCACTGACTGAAACTAGAAACAAAATCTTTCTTTTTTATATGTGTTGTTTTTTTGCAGGGGGGTTTACCTCAAACCTCCTGGCTTTAGTCTCTCTGTTTTTTTTGGGCACCGATGAATATGAACTTTTCTCTCCAACAGCTGAAGCGAGTTCGGGAGTCAGAAAAGCAGTGCAAGCCCCTGCTGGATAAGAACAAGCTCCTGAACAAGAGGAACGATGATTTAACACAGACCATCCAGAAACTGGAGGAGAAACTGAAGAGTCTGACGAAGGAAAACCTTGAAATGGTCAGAGCAAAATCAAACTATCATCATGCTGGGTTTATAAGATGATTAACAGCTGATTTCTCTCTTCATGTCATCACAGAAGGAGAGGATAGGCTCTCACCCTCCTCTCAAGAAGCTGAAGTCCCTGAATGACCTGGACCAAGCCCATGATGACCAGGAAATAGCTTTTCTAAAACTTCAAGTCCTGGAGCAGCAGAGCATGATTGATGAACTGACAAGAGTATGTTTGTTCAAACTTGACATTTGTTGCATTTTTGACATTTATATTTTTTGTTATGGATTCTGAAAAGCTCTTTGTGAGCCTGTGGCGCTGCAACGCAAGGTTCACCGAGGTGAAACGCACAATCGTGATAACACTTTTCTGATTTAAAGTCCAATTTAAACTGAAGTATGGATGATATTGATGCATAGTATATATTCACTGTTTGGGCTTTATTTTTCATTTTAAAACAATGATCTTATATCTTAATCTTGACCATATATAAAAAAATGTAAATAAATAGCAAATATTGTGCAGTGGAAAGTTAAAAGAATGGACAGCTTGTTAAGTTAGGAGACTTTTTAAGATTAAGATATTTGTGTAAAGGTTTTTTCTATCAGTCTTCCTTGATAATTGTTTGCCCTTTTTAATTAAAATTTTATGACTATTAAGTAAAGTTACAAACAACTGAAAATGGGGTTTGCAAATTGTTTCCGTAGTGTAGTCCTGGTCTGTACTACAGGTACTTGGAAGGTAGAATATTATAGTTTTCTGCATTTTAGCTATAAAAACAGTAAATCTAGGAGCTTATTAACATAGTTCTTGTCTTTTACCACTAAAGGAAATAAAAACTGGGCATCACCTGAACTACCAGGATGGTGAGATGTCTCTCCTAAAGGCAGAGTAACAAGTAACATACCAGTGTGGGGAAAAAGCAGCTGTGGAAGAACAAAAATCCAAACAATATGTTCCACACAGAGTTGGAAAACAAAAAGTCGAGAAACATTCTGAAAACAATTTACAAATATTTGGCTAACATAAGTCATTTCAGTTGCAAAGCATCAAACTTTGTACAAACTGTTCTGGAAAAAGCGAATGATGGAATTGTTTGCACCAACACTGTGCCATGTTTTTATTGTTGTGTCATCTTATGCCTTTTTATTGTGTCTTGGTCCAGGATCGTGAAAAGCTGCTAAGAAAGAAAAGGCATAAAAGAAGTTCAAGGCCAATAAAGGTAAATACAATTAGTCTGTCACAATACTATTATTATTATATTAAAAAAAATACAAGTTTACAAGTTTAACAAGACACTAAAAAGTATCATGGTTGTCAGAGATTTAGGACACAGAATGCGGAATGCAAGGAATTTAATTAAAACAAAGTAATTTATTCAATAAAGCAAAGGGTGGACGTGGCAGCAACATTACAGGTTCTCAGGAGAAACAACTTAACGGAAAGACCGTGACTGGCATGGATACCAACCATGCAGAACGGGTGAAAGGTGGAACAAAGATTGAATGAATGCAGCAGGGATAAATGGAAAGTGAGGCACCTGGGTGATTACTAACTGGGGACAGGTGAGTGACAGATTGAAGAGACACTGTGGAGACTGACTTAACGGTGCAACATACTCCATCTGTGCCGAACAGTTGACACGTGGTTGCAGAATGTACGTGTGCACATACACTTTTCATAGTCCATGAAACACAGATGCAGAGCTCCTGGGAAACCCCTCCTGCTGCAGTATATGTGACCATGTGGGTTTCTTTCCACCAGTCTCCACTTTGTCCCTACATCCACTGTTTGACCCCAAATCTATCATGAAGAAAGCGCCACACTTCAGCAGACAGACTCCTCCATACACAATGTTTGCTTGACCTCCATCCAGGAGGTTTTGGTCATTTGAATAATTTAGTGTATTTGTTTAGTCATACAGCTAAATGTCCAAATGTATTTCCGCATTGATGAACACGCCCACAAACTTCTGACCAATCGCACAATACTTGGTGGAATCGCCTGTGAAAAAAAAAGGCCCGTGCCTTCTGTCGAGAAGAGACAGGCGAAGCTGCTTTCAGAACAAAATGACGTAATTTTTGACACACAACTGCATCAATGAGAACCAATTTTGGCACTTCAGATGGAGAATGCAAGACCCTTAAGGGTGAGTAAGAAGCAATACAAGAATACCAAAAACAACCCTAACAATATAGTACAAAAACACAGACTGGACTAGATCTAAACTGAGAAGGAAAAGAACAGAACTGAAGTAAAAAATGATAATGTAAACACAATAATTCCAAGAGACAGAAAGCAAAACTAAGACACCTGATCGCAAAGCACAAATAACCAAATAAGTCAAAATCATGACATATTGCAATATATATACATATATAGACAACAATAATAATAATAATAATAATCATTTTATTTAAAAAGCGCCTTTCAGGACACCCAAGGACACTTTACAGTAAGAAACATATCAGAAAGATTGTGTAAAAGCAAACAACAAGAACAGTGCAAAGATCAACAGGAATAAATTGAGATATAAAATACATAAAGAATATAAAATGCATAAAGAATATAAAATACATACAGCAGAGTTAAGGATAAGCGAGTCTAAAGAGATGTGTTTTCAGAGCAGTCTTGAACAGAGAAAGAGAGGTGGTGTTTCGTGAGTCAGGGGGTAGAGAGTTCCAGAGATGAGGGGCAGAGCAGGTGAAGACCCTGCTCCCCATGGTGGAGAGGCGGGCAGAGGGTACATGGAGGTGCGAGAGGGGATGGAGATGTGTAGGATGTCAGATAGGTACGGAGGGGCAAGATTGTGGATAGCTTTGAAGGTGAGAAGAAGAATTTTGAAGATAATGCGTGATTTAACCAGGAGCCAGTGGAGCTGCTGCAGGACAGGAGAGATGTGGTTATAGGAGGAGGTTTGAGTGATGACACGGGCAGCTGAGTTGTGGACCATTTGTAGCTTCAAATTAGCATTAAAGTTGTTCATATACGAAAATTTTAAACAATTTTCTTTCTGCAGAGACACATTGTTGTAGACACATTTTTTGGCTACGATGAAGAGTCTATGGACTCTGAGACATCCTCAGTGGCTTCATTCCGCATGGACAGAACCCCGGCTACCCCTGATGAAGACATGGGCGAGGTAAGAGCTTTTATGTGCAGGATCGCTGCCTGGACCTTTCCCTGTGGAGGTTACATGTTCTCTTTGTGCATGTTTGGGTTTTCTCTAGGAACGTTGGAATCCTCCCACTGACAAAGAACATTTATGTTAGGTTAACTGATAACTCTACCTTGGCAGTTGGTGGAGAGTGTGAGTGGTTGTCTGCCTTGTTTGTCTCTTTGTGGCGCTGTGATAGCCCTGCAACCTCTCCACAGTGTACACCTTGCCTTTTGCGCGATTGCTGGAGCTTGGCACCAGCTCCCTCCCTGCAAAGGGAATAAGCGGGTAAAATAAAATGAATGGATGGATTACCATCTACTCACCAGAGGTGATTATGTTTGTCTTGAAAAATCATAACCTTTGGTCTCTTGTCTCTGTGTCAAACAAGGGTATTGCCAATGAAGAGTCAGAGTTACGTTTCCGTCAGCTGACGAGGGAATATCAGGCATTACAGCGAGCCTATGCCTTGCTGCAGGAACAAAAAGGGGGCATGCTGGATGCAGAGATTGAAGCTAAGGTACAAACATGTGAAAAGGTGATGCAATGTTCAACCAGTGCCTACTTCTGTAATAAAATTATACAAACAATAACTTTCACTTCAATTTATTTATATAGTGCCAAATCACAACAGAAGTCTTCTCAGGGCACTGAACAGAAACGTTCACATAAATTAAAAAAGTCAATTAGTAAAAGTTCGCTATCTAAGGAAGCCAGCAGATTGTGCTGAATCTTCACTTCATCACAGTCTTCCATCCTGAGCAAGCACAAAGGTAACAGTGGAAAGGAAAATCTCCCTTTTAACAGGAAGAAACCTCCAGCAGAACCAGTCAGGACGAGCGGGCATCTGCTTTGACCGACTGGGGTTTGAGAGGAACAGGAAGGAGAAACAAAGAAAGAATGGCAGGTCCAGGTGGACTTTCTATTGGAAGAAAGACAAAAATAATGTTTAGGATATAAATAATTACAAATACAAGCAGGTAGAGTAGAGCGAGTAAAGACAGCAGCAGAGAGAGTAAATGTCAATTTGTCCTCCAGCAGTCTCAGCCTATAGCAGCATATTTAAGGGATAGCTCAAGAAACCCAAGCCAACCCTAACTATAGGATTTATCAAAAAGGAAAGTCTTAAGCCGTCTTAAAACTGGACAATGTGTCAGCCTTATGAACAGAAACTGGAAGTTGGTTCCACAAGAGAGGAGCCTGATAACTGAAAGCTCTGCCTCCCATTCTACATTTGGAAACTCTAGGAACCACAAGTAAGCCTGCAGTCTGAGAGTGAAGTGCTCTGTTAGGAAAATATGGAACAATAAGTTCTGTAATGTAAGATGGAGCTAGGTTGTTGAGAGCTTTGTACGTTAGAAGCAAGAATTTGAATTCAATTCTGAATTTCATTTACATTTTCTTTTGTTACAGAATAGTTCTCTGCTTAAAGAAGAAATGGACTTAACATAGATTTGAATGTAGGAATATCATTTTATAGACTGCTTTGTTGTTGTTTCAGGCTCATGAACAAATTCAAGCTGATGTTCTCAGGTATAAAGCCAAAATAGAGGATTTGGAGAAGGAACTAACCTTAAAGGGACAGGTAAGATATGCAACAAGATAACAAGATGATTAAAGGCACAGTATATGCGTTTACCCTGTGGGGGAGTTAAAGTCTCAAGATTGGCAAGTTCTCAAAAGAATCAGTGAGACCAAACTTAAACTGTGTGTTTGAGTTGATTCTAAGTGTATAGAACTATTCAGCAATCTACACCAACAGTTCTGATTCAGGTTTTAGACGTAAAGACAAATCAGCAGTGGTCAATTCTGAAGAGTTTCAACAGAGCAACACTAAACTTTGTCACGTGAAAAAAAGTTGTTATAAAAATAAATCAACCTTACATTGAGAAAAATACATGCAATGGTCAAATTTTATTAAGAGCTCACCTAAAATATATTGTTCTTTTTTTTTGTTCTCTTAAGGTTTATTCTTTACTAAACGGAAAATACCGTAAAGGCAGAAAAGTAGTTAAAAAATAGCTTTAATTTGAATAACTTAAAATGTGACCATTTTATGTACCTTATAAAAGACTTCGAGCTGCATTTTACACATTGAAATGGCTTAAATGGTGACAATCTGTGTTTCAGGACTCCAAATGGGTTGAGGAAAAGCAACTCTTCTTACGACGGAACCAGGAGTTGTTGGATAAGGTTAGACTTGACTTCTGGTTTTTCAAAACAGCTGATTTTTTTTCTTCTGTTTTCCAAAATGTTCAGGTTTAGTTTGTGCAGTAAGTCAAGTTAAATTTATTTATAAATCACATTCTAAAACAGCAGCTGTTACCAATGTACTTATCAATAAAAAAAATCAGTGGCGATGTGTTCAATGTCAGTGTTCATTAGTTGTCAAAAGGAGAGGTAAAAATCAGATTTTTAGTCAGAAAAATGCTTCTTTATGTTGCTCAGGTGGAAAAGCTAGAGTCGGACTGCAGTCGACTTCAACAGGAGCTTCAAGACTCCAGAGACCAGAATGAACTTTTGGAGTTCAGGATTTTAGAGCTGGAGGTAAGCTCAGATAAAAAATTGACTTATTTCATTAAATACATGTCAGTCATGTGAAAAAATAAGATAATTAATGTACAGCTCTTTAAAGTAATTCCTACAGAGAACAGAATAATGCTTTCAAAGAAAAGCAAGACAAATCAGGATTTCAGAGATGACTCATTGCACTGGCTCACTCACACACACACACACACACACACACACACACACACACACACACACGTTTGTCTTGCTCTCTTTATGTGGACTTTGCATTGACGTCCATTAATTTTTCATTAATTTCTATAGCCTAACCCTGACCCTTACCCTAACCGTTACCAGTACATACCTAACCCTAACCATTACCAGTACATCCCTAACCCTAACCATTACCAGTATATCCCTAACCCATTCTCAATTCACACCTTAGTCCTAATCGTAACCCCTAACCCACCAACAACACTTGAACCTGATGGGGACCAGGTTTTGGTCCCCACAAAGAGCAGTTGGTCCTCACAATGTGTTGGAAAAATGAGCCTTATAAAGTAATATAAACACACAGACACACACACACTCCTTGCTGCAGGGTTTCAAATAGTACATATCTTTATATTTCAGCTGCCAAATGACCTTTCTTTGTTGCTGAAGTGGTTTGTAAGACTGCCTCCACCTGTCAGTCAAGCAAAAGTCAAGCTGCATGTCGTTTTTTTAAATGTATTTGTGCCGCAGCTCAGAAACTGATGGAGGTTTATGATGGTTTAAGTTGCCACCTTGTCGACACAGTGGGGAAGACGTGCCCAACGCAGCACCAGAGAGAACTTTTCCACAGCACAACAAATTCCATTAGAGTTTTACAAACCAAAATGATCAGACCCAACAAAGTTCAGTCAGGTCCTCTGGACGTTTTTTTTGTTGTTGTTGTTGTTATTGAGACGTTTCGTCCTTCATCCAAAGGACTTCATCAGTCCGAGGAGCCACAACAAACTTGAGTCCCACAAGCAGCAAGCCCACACAGTGGATCAATCTCATCAATCACAAAATGATCAGAGTTTAGCTTTTTGATTAGTGGAATGTATATTTTGTTTCAGGAGCGTGAAAGAAGGTCCCCTCCGTTCAACCATCTGAGGATGCATCCGTTCTCTGAGGGAGTCAGTGCGCTGCAGATCTACTGTATGAAGGAAGGGGTCAAGGTGAGTGACAACCGATGCTTCATTACTTTGAGCTAGTAGGTCTTTTCTTTCAACCAATGCACAGATATCAGATAGAGTTAAAAGCTGTGCTTAACCACATTTTATCTTGTTTATTTCACAGGATGTATGCATACCGGACCTCATCAAACTACTAGACATCCTTGGAGACAATGGGGTAAATTATGTTTAACCTACCATATTTTTTGCCATAGAAGTCGCACAATTTTGCATAAATTTGCAAGTCCTGCGACTTATACACTGAAGTGACTAATATACATTCCCCCCCCATATTTATAACTCAATTTTTGGCTGAGATCTGATGATTTCATCCATTCTGACATCAAAAATATGAACACTAACATTTTCAGCCGCTAGAGGGCCCTCGACCAATATGTCGAACCAAGTGTCTCATTAATAGGTCAAAGTGGCTATTACTGAGACACTTGGCTTGCCATACAGGGCCACCTTGGTCTCGCTCCACAACTCCTGGAGCAAACGTCAAATCAGCTGCATTTCGCCTGGGCGGCGTGGCAAAATGCAGCTGATTTGACCATTAAAGTGCATTTATTAAGGAAAAGTTAAATTGAGACACACCTTTACTATAATGTCGAGCAAATAAATAATTGTTTTTAGGTGTTCATCTTGTTAAATTTCGACAAAATGCACAATGAGTCCTCCCTGTCCGCCAGGGGTGCCCAAAGTGGGGCCCGCGGGTCAAAGTTGGCCCGCCAAGCTTCCTCATCACTATATTAAAATTTCCTTTCAAGAATCAACGTGTTTACACAGTCATTCCAAGTTTAATGTTAGATGGAAAGTTGGCCCAATGACTACTGTAATGACACTACACAGATGGAATGACTAATGTGTGCATAAATTTTTTAAAATTTTAATAATTTATATTTTATTTTGACAGACTCCATACTGTCTCTCGGTAATTTCTTGCTGCTGAATAACATTTCCTTTGACAAAGCTGAGCATCATGTAGGTGCCCATCACGCACCCTTCTTGAGCAACACTAAATTTTAACTAGGCATCTCTGAAAAATTAAGAAACCAACATTAGGATTTTGTAAAGAAGCAGTTCTCAAACCTTAGAGTCACCAAAATATTGAATACATTTTGAATAAATATGGAATAAATGACAACAGTCTCCAACGGGCCTGTAAAATCTATCATTTTTTTGCACGAGTCACGCCACCTGTCAATCAATCCAGTGGGCACATCAGCGACTGACTAGTCAGTCACTGACCAGTTAGCAACCTCAATTTGTCCTGAAGTGAACGTCCCTTACCTGTAAAGATGCAGTAATGTTGCATTAAAAACGTTTGCAGTCGGAGATTTCAATAATAATTGAGTTTACATGTTTTGTTTCATGTTAATCAGCTGTAATAAACCTTTGTAAAATACAACAAAATGCAGGAAATGGCATCTACTTTATTCAAAATTCTCTGTAAATAATAAATAAATAGACTTTACTTAAAAAATTATTTGTATTTCATGTATTATATTATTGCATTTGGTCTCGCAGCCCTCTGATAGATTTTAAATTTGGTCCTTTCAGAGAAAAAGTTTGGGCACCCCTGCTCTACGCACTCCCACTTCTGCGAATCAATTTTTGAAATGCAGCTGATTTGACCGTCAAATTGCATTTATCAAGGAAAAGTTAATCTGAAACACAACTTTGCTATAATTTCGAGCAAATAAATAGTTTTTAAGTGTTAATCTTGTTAAATTCTTGTTAAAGCCTTCCTCTGCACGCTCCCACAGCCGCCATTTGGCAACCAATCGATTTTTGGCACACCAGCCCACATTTCCGGGTTGTCAGTGGTGATGCATAATAGATGCGACTTATACAGTGAAGTGACATATTTAAGTTTTTGTTCCACTTTATTACATTTTTTAACTGATGCAACTTAAACCGCGGTGCGACATGTACGGCAGCAAGTACGGTAATTTATTAGCTTGCAATACTGAAACAGGCATGCAATTAAATACATTTTTTGTTGTTGTTGTTCTTGGTGTTGTTTTTACAGAACTTAAGAAATGAGGAACAAGTGGCCATTATCCAGGCCAGCACTGTGTTGTCACTAGCAGAAAAGGTAAGATTAGGACTAACGGCCTGGTCGTGTGATGTTAGAATAAAGGATTCTGTGCTTCTGTGACTCACGTTTGGATGCATGTCACCCTCTAGTGGATACAGCAGATAGAAGGGACAGAGGCAGCACTGCATCAGAAGATGATGGACCTGGAGATAGAGATGGTAGGCCATAAAAATATACATGAGCATACTTTACCTATGATGTTTTTGGAAATGTTACAATGTGAAATTATGTATTCAAACTGTTCCTGTTCACTAGTCATTTAACATAAATAAGTGAGTTAAATATCTGCTCAGACATATTTTAAGTAGTGGCAAATATTTGTCTATTTATTTCCATTGACCCATTGATTTTCAGACATACAAAACTTTTTTCTTTTTTTTTTTATGATCTTTGTTACTCCTGGTAATCAGTTAAACTGTATCTGGGATGATTTACTCCATTGTTTACTGAGTACACTTCAATAGCCACAGTTGTGTTCTAGCAAAATAACCTCAGGTACAACCAGATGTTTGCTTAGCGAGTGCATCGACAATATGACTGTCCTATCTCACAGCAAAAGATCAGAATTGCTCTTGTTCAAGTTTCACAAATTTTACTTTTCCTTATTTCATCTAATTCCTGCTGAGTTAAAACATTATAAATAGACTGCATTATATTACGGGTCCAAATTGTAGTTCTGCTATAAAGTGAAGCAGTATACTTTTAATGTTTCATTACACTTGCAATATCCTCTTGTCAATGATTGTGTGCAGGATATGTTCTGCAAACAGAAAGGATATCTGGAAGAAGAGCTGGACTACAGGAAACAGGCCCTGGATCAAGCTTACATGGTGAATGTAACTTCCTAAAACAAAATCGTGCCAATATTTTAGCCTGCAACATCGGTTTTTGCTGTATTTTTTATTTAAATACATTGTCTGCATGTTGTGGTTGAAGGACGCAGGTTCAGTGATGTTTAATTTCATGGATTTATTTACGATAGGCAAACAAATGGCAGCTCTTGTTCTCTTCTTTCTACAGCAAATTCAGGAGTTGGAAGCAACGTTATACAACGCACTCCAGCAGGACAAGGTTTTAGCTTTTGCAAATGGATGTTATGAATGTCTCATATTTTAATTAAACAGATTAACATTTCATATAAATAAATAAATAAACTCCAGGAAAGTTGTAGAACAGTACAAATGGACAGTTTTCCAAAGGCTGAAACCATTATATGAATGTATCTTCTTCCAGGTGATAAAATACGATGAGCCTCTGAATGAGCTTCAGAAAGACGAGCTGCGAATGGCCGTGGAGAAGCTGAGGAGGCAGATGCTGAGGAAGAGCCGAGAGTACGACTGCCAGATCCTCCAGGAGAGGATGGAGCTGCTGCACCAGGCCCACCAGGTCTGCCTGTCTTACAGCACTGGTTCTGACATAACACAGCGAAGCTTGGTGGAGAGAGTTTATGTTCAAGTTGTTTCTGTGCTCGTTTGATCTGACATGTTTGTTTTTTCTAAAAAAATCAATTGCAGAGGATTCGTGATCTTGAAGACAAGACAGAAATCCAGAGGAGGCAGATTAAAGACTTGGAGGAAAAGGTAGGATGTGACTGATAGAACTTCATTATTTCATGCACTGCCATTTTCATTTAATAAAAAACAATATGACACAACTATTAGATTCAACCAGTTCTCAGCATCAGCATGAAGCTTTACAAAGCTTCATGCTGATGCTGAATCAAGTCTTTTAATTTCCTTTTTCCTTTGGTTTCATCTGCATTTCACCTCACTAACCTTGCTAGCAAAGTAGACTGACTCTCACCTATGTGTATGACTGGAGTAAAAGAGGTGAAGATGACGTTCTTCTGTACCAAAGGAAAAAGAAGTTTGTGCTTGTGTAGCAAAACAACACACATGAAGCAAATCAAATCTATTAAGCAATTGCATTTCTGCAACAAACCCAACAAATCATTAACTTTGGATATTTCTGAAGAACTTTTAAGAATACACACACAATAAGTTGCTCATAATACAAAAAAACTGCCACTGAGTCTTAAATGTCTCTTTTAAACGGTGCTCTTTTTTAGTAATAAAGTAATCCCTCATGTATCGCAGGGGTTACGTTCCAGACGCCCCCGCAATACGTGAAAAACCGCAAAGTAGGAACGCTATATTAATTTTAGTATGTACCGTACTTTCTGCCTTAAAAGTCGCATCAGTCCAATTATATCTAATAAAGTGGAAATAAAACATACATAAGTCGCTTCGCCTTATAAATCGCATCTATTGTGCACCACCACTGACATCCTGGAAACGTGAGACGGTGTTGTGCCAAAAATCGATCGGCTGCCAAATGGCGGCTGCAGGAGCGTGCACGGGAGGACTTTAACAAGAATTTAACAAGACAATTATTTGTTTTCTCGACATTATAGCAAAGGTGTGTCTCAGTTGAACTTTTCCTTAATAAATGCACTTTGATGGTCAAACCAGCTGCATTTCTCCTGGGCGGTGCGGTGAAATGCAGCTGACAACTTTTTATTCTGTACCATCCCAGTCACGTGAGTAATATTAAAGTTGACAGTCGTTGAAAAACCACGAAAGAGCGAGTCCGTGAAAGTCGAACCGCAGAGTAGTGAGGGACTACTGTACATCTGTTCTTCCATGTAAAAGAAACTACTACATTAGCAGAAATAACAGCTGAATTTGATGTTGCTAAAACATAAAACATTATTTTACCAAGCAGTTAGATGCAATTTAAAATAAACCCTTAAATAGTCATTTATTAACGTTCAGGGATTATGGTTTCATACAGTGAATTTGTGTTTTTGTCCCTGCTGTGACAAACGTTTCAAAATGTTTCTCTAACTCTCTGACATTCTTTGTCCCTTCCTTCTCTTCCTGTCTACAGTTTCTCTTTCTATTCTTGTTCTTTTCTCTTGCTTTCATCCTCTGGCCTTGAAGTCTTTGGACTGTCCTGGAGCAGAGGTGAGTCCTGCGCTCTGTCTCTTCAAACCACCACCTTCTCTTTTCTGGACCTCGGTCCAAACGGCTTTTACTGCTCAGCAATAGTACAGAAGGTGCTTCACACTTAAGTAAAAAAACGGCAATATATTTTAAAAAGTACTAGGTCTCATCTAATTTATTTTTGTTTTTAATTAAATAAAGAACATCTGCAAACTTGAGTTTTTTAAAAGCTGGATTTTCGATCTACAGTGGTTTTATGTCTAGAAGTAATAATTACTTGACTCTGGTCTACAAAGTACATGTTTCTGTCTTGCGTTTATATACATATATTCAGTATTTTTTTTCGTTCTGTTTTCGTTCTCGGCAACTTTACACTTTATATATTTCATTTAGCAAACACATCTTGTTTACATTTACATCAGTGAGTAATCCTCGGGGCCTTATACACCTTCACCGAAGGCCTATAAATGTAGCATATGTGACATGTTTTTATGTTGTTGTTTTTTTTGTACATAAGTTTTATATATACAGTAATATATACTTTCAATGTAGTTTTTTTTAATTGTTTATTTTATGTAAATTACTTTGCAGTTCAGCAAGAAACTGTTTTTAAGTTGTGAAAATATTGTTATACAATCAGATTCTTTTAAATTTGTGTCTCCAGGCAGAAACATGTTTGAAGGTTCTTTTTCATTGATTAGGACTTCACTGTAAGGAGAGAAGGCTCAGCTCAGTCGGGCTATGAAGAATGAATATGTTTAATAACTGACAAGAAAATTAACCAATCTCAATGTTGACGTAGAGTGGGTGGGGCCAAAACATTGGACACCCAGCCTTAGGGAATCCCCTGCGGGCTATTTTTATTTTTTTATTTTTGGACCACATGAAGATTTGTGATGCATTCACTTGCAACCTGTAAACTCAAAAATCCATAATGAAATTGCAGTTTCTCAAAAAATTAAGTTGACATATATATGCAATTTAGGTCAATATTCACGCTAGCTTTACAACATTACAGTGTTCCCTCGTTTATCACGGATGTTAAAGATCACAATAAGTGAAAAACCACAAAGTAGGAATAGTAGTACAAGTAGTAAGTAGTAGTTTATTTTAGTTTGTGTGTGTGTATGTATATATATATATATATATATATATGTGTGTGTGTTTGTGTGTGTGCAGTATATGAAGGCATTATAAACCCACTCTTGCAATCTTCTAACAATGTTTCTAAACTCTAAACGTTCTAAAAGAGCACAGCATGTCATGATTTCAGCTCTCTACCTCCTGCTGCACTTTGCCATCTGCAAGCGCTTTTGGCCACGCCCACTTCTCCGGTGCAGAACGGAGATATGACACGCTGCAGAAGGAAGCTTCTACTGCAGCTGTGGGCTGCACTCTGGTGCTCAATAATTTAAAACAATTTATTTTCAATAAAAATTCCATGCCGATCATGCGGCTCATGCATCAGCCAGCCAATTGTATTTCTTGTCCAATCTTATTTTGAAAAACCGTAGAGCGGGACTGTGATAAACGAAGCGTGAAGTAGCGAGGGACTACTGTACAGCTGTATTTTGGTAACATTACATGATGAAACTTTACAGAAACAGGTTCTGTAGGTTACTCTTAAATTTCAGTGGAAATTATTAAAATTACATGATGTACTTAAACGCAAGAGACTGGGTGAGCCACAAGGGCTGCTGGGTAGTCTTGGGTCAGAAATGGGTGGATTTTTTTCGGGTTATGTGTACAGATGGGTTGTCCATGTTGGTTGGTCTGTTTAGTTTGGGTTGGCATTTATATTCAGGTTGTTGTTAGTGACTATAAAAGAAATGACACCATACGTGTAATGTAGCTAATGTAACAAAAGCGGAACACTTCAGTGCATTTCTGAGTTGTAAAGCTGAACGTAAAGTGATGCAACTGCACCACAACTTTGTATTTTTTCAAAATTACCTTTTATAAAGTTGCTCTAAAGTTATGCCCAATATGAAGGCCCAGCTCATGTAGTCACAATTCTGCACTGATTTACATGCAAATATAATTTTTTTACAACCGTTTTGTCCATGAAGCAGGCACCTTATTAGTTCATGCTGGAATCAACACTCAGAATGAGTTAAAACAGTAAATCTGTTCTGAACTGCTGTAATCCAGATTAACACTAGTCATGTAATACTGATTTTCTTTTTTTTAATTGGTAATTTTTTATTTATGTATTTATTTTTGTCAAGTTTGTGTTTGCTAGTTTAGGAATCTTTTTAACTGTTGTCTTTTTTTTTTTTTTTCCAGGTCTTGTGTCAGCACTGAGACCCCGTTTGAGATTTTGATGGTATTTACATGTAGGACCAGCTGGACAACGTGTTGTGCGTCGTAGTAACCGTTTGTGTCGTTCCATCAGTGACTCCGGACGCCGTTGGTCAGTTTGAACTGCTCACACATCAGCTGTTACTTTTATGGTTATCTTTATCGGAGTGATTGAAATCTTCAGTGTGCTGCACAGGATGATTCATTTTTGAGCAAGATTTTCAAAACGTTTGGGATGACACTTCAAGAATGGCATTCTATTAGAAATACAACATGCACACGCACATATGCCGACGTGCATTGTTTGTAAAATGCATGCGTATGCACACATATACACACGTGCTTTGACGATTGCAAACCAAAGCCTGGAAGCCGTTCTCTCTGCCGTGCAGAGCCCATCATTCAGCCACAGCAGGAACGTAGACAATGCTGAGGACCAACGACAAAACCTACAGCCTCCATCTTTTTTCTTCACCCATCTTTACCCAAATTTGAGAGGATATTCTTAACGAATGCAACCACTTTAAACGCGAAGCCAACTCAGGGGTGCAGAAGCAGCTGGAGCAGTGCCTCAGCTCAGATAACGATAAGGAACGTTTGGGAAACGACACCCCCATGGCCTGCCGTCACTGCTCCCACAATGGTGCTGACACTCACTGCTTGTGCTCTCCGGATGTCCCACTGAAAAACTAACACGACAGAGCTGCAGACAGGTGGGTGTACGGCCGCTAGAGAGGGACCAGGGACACTCAGGTTGACACGTCATCACTGGACTCCAGTAAGAGGCTTCAGTAAAGAGAAGACTTTGTAGAAAACGACTGATCTGATTCATTTTGGCCTCGACCTCCAAGAAAAAAATCTACATTATTAAACTGTTAATGTTTCTGAAAAGCCAGTGAACTTCACCAACGTGACTCTGGTTTTCTTCTTCATTTCCCCCCCCATGTTTTCCTAAGGGGGAATATAAATATTCTGTATTGTAATATATGCATTGTTGATATGTACATGAATTTGAATTATTTCTTGTAGTCTCCCCTATATATATTTTTTGTGAATAGTAGTACCTCGTTTTTTTGGGTTTTTTTACTCTCTGAAGCAGCTTGAACAGTTACTGTACCTGGCGGTTTATAAACATGTCAAAAATGACATGAATTGCTTGTTTTTGTGGTGATAGCTGCAAAAATTAGATTTAATCTCTTAAAAATGTATTCATTAAAGAACTTGGAATATGATGTGGAAAAACAAAATATTTTTATTCTTTTTTTGCCCTTTACAGATTCTGAAAATTAAATTGCTTGACGAGCGGCGGATGCTTGTTTCACTCTTTCCAACGTTGTAAATATTTTGCAAAGATCTGCATCCAACCTGGTCCAAATTCAAATCAGACACTTGTAACGTCTATTGGTGGTTCTTAAATCTCATCAGCTGATGTTCGAATGACAGATATTGTGAAAAAGGATCGTCTCTAGCATACAAATATTGCAGGTTCTCTGACTTTCTTGCTCTGTTTTATTAAGCAGAATTGTTTGATACTAACAACTTCCTTTTACAAAACACTAACAGCCATGCAAGGGTCCATTTCAGGCGAATGCAACAGGAGAAAGTGAATGCAACACTACACCTGCTTCCCTTCTTTTGTGTGAAGCTAACTCTACCCAGAGACTAAAATATTTACAAGCTTCTTCTCTGATCCTGAAGTAAAGGAATCTGCCATCAGTCCGACCTCATGGCTCCATTCACAGCGCGCTCTCATCACACACCGTCACTAAATCCACAGATCATCTTCATTAGATGTGCGTCACAAAGATGCTTGTAAAATTTATTTTCATTTGCCAATTTATTTATAATCATTGTTTGTTTTCCAACAGTCAAATCCCACTTTATTCCGTTAAGTCTTTATTAAACAGAAAAGAGAAGCAAGCCTGTAAAAAGTTCAAGAGGGGGAAAAAAAAAAGCTTTTGATTAAAACATTTAATTTTTCCTTTTTCATGCATTTTTAAGCTGATCAGTATATTTTTTCTTCTCTTTTCCTTTTAGAGTTGGAGAGTTATGAAAGCCAAAATGTGTTTATTTGTAATATTTGTCACATGTTTAAATTTAGTCTCATTGTTTTACAACATGCTGCAAATATATATATATATATATATATATATATATATATATATATATATATA